GCTGAGGATCAGGATACATTTTTTGAAGACTACGCTGAAGCTCATGCTAAATTGAGCAATCTTGGGTCTAAGTTTGACCCTCCTAAGGTAGATGGGATTAAGAGAACCATTTATGAGAACCAGGACATAATTAACCATATTGTAAGGTCGTGCTGACTCCTTGAAATTTTGCAGGGTGTATCACTAGACTAGCTGATATTTGCTGCTGATGAACTGCATTTTGGTGAGTGAAGATGACAAGGCTATGTTTCTTGCAACTATTTTCGAGGTGAACAAATTCGGATCCACCGAAGCAGTATTTTGAGTTGTGTGCTCTATTACCAGAAATAAAAGCAGCATTGGACAGTTCCCGGACCGAACATTTATGATACTTGCATGTTGTATGACACTTCAAGGTACAAATATAAAACAATACTATCAGGCTGTTGCCCCTTTGCGATATGTCTGGAACAGAACGGTACCTAGCAAGCACACTATGGGATATTTTATTTATCTTTTTGTTTGATCATACAATATACCAACCATCCTGAAGAGGTGAGCTCATTTCCCTCTTGGGAACCCCAGGATAGCCTGAATCATGTCTCCCAGCTTGCCTTCAAGCACTCCTTTGAGGATCTTGAGCTTTGGTGCCGAGTAGGGCGGGTACCTAGCCCTGGCCTCCCCGGCGAAGCCTCGGTTCATGACTGCCTTCCTGTGGCTGAAAGCATCAAAGCTGAACTTCCCATGATAGGCGCCCGTGCCACTCTCCCCAACTCCTCCAAATGGCAGGTATGGGTTTGTGAGCTGCAAGATTGCAAATCAATGTCAGCATTCTCATTTAGTTTCCTGTAAAATTCGCGTGTTCCAAAGGGAGCCTTGTGCTGATTACATGTATGCTGGTGTCGTTGAAGAGCATTCCTCCTGCAGAAATGGCCCCCTCGAACTGGTTCTGGAGCTCACTGTCCCTGGTGAAGAGGTAAGCTGCAAGTGGCTTAGCCATTGAGTTGATGAGACCGAAGCTTTCATGGATCTTGTCAACCTGAAAGGAAAAGAGAACATTCGACTCAGATGCACATCATGTACCACCAGTAATCTCTTGTGCTTTTTTTTGAGGGGAATCTTATGGGTCAAAAATGTAGTAAAATTCTCTGAATCTGAGAGAGTTGGCTCTGACCGTGAGGATCGGAAGCAAGGGCCCGAATATTTCATCCTTCATGATGGCGGAATCGAGAGGGACATCTAGGAATATTGTAGGGGCGATCTTCCTGCGGTACGATAAAGAAAAGATATGTGGGCAGATCAACCAAACGCATTATGCGCATGATGGTAGTTTGCTAGAGTTGGTAATGTGAAGATGGAATCCACTCACAGCTGCTGTTCATCCCTCTGACCGCCGAACACGATCTTGTCGGAGACCATCTCTTCGTCCATCAAGCCCTTGAGCCTGCCAAAATGGCTGGCATTCACGACGCGGGACAAGTCCGCTGATAGCAGTGGATCCTTCCCGTAGAACTTCTCCAAAACGTTCTTCAAAGACTCGAGCTTCCAAGTTACGTTCAACGAAAAGTTAGGATTCATCACCCTCGTAGAAAAAAAAGAGAGGGTTAGAACTGTGCAAACAAACATATATGCGCGTACCAGCTTTGGGGCAAAAGCCTGTGTGGTTATGATGAAATCAGGAGCAATGCAGGCCTGGCCATTGTTGCAACCCCACTTGCCAGCAGCGATCCTCTTGGCAGCAATCTTTGTAGGAAAAATAATAATTGAGAAACATGAGTTAGAAAAAAAATGGAACATCTAAGAGAAGGTGAGCTTTTTTTTCCCCGTGGGATTATGGCAGTGATCATTCAGACTGGGGAAGATTGATTTTACGTGGAGATCGACGTTTGAATCGACAACCACCGGGCATTTGCCACCGAGCTCCAAGACGACCGGCGTCAGATGCTTGGCCGCTGCGGCCATCACGACGCGTCCGACTCTACTGTTGCCTGCAATTTTTCATCGCAACATGCGTTGGTTGGATGCAGGCGAGAAGAATGTTTCGAGCTTCATCGACGGCGGTCGTCAAGAACTGACATGGAGATTGGCACTGACCTGTGTAGAAGATTTTGTCCCACTTGTGGTTTAGGAGCGCGGTGGTCTCCTTGACGCCGCCCTCGATGACCTTGATGCAGTTGCCGTCCACGAACCGCGGCAGCAGCTCAGCCAGCAGCGACGACATGGCTGGTGCCCCCTCAGACGGCTTCAGCGCAACGGCGTTGCCGGCGGCGATCGCACCGATGACCGGGTCCAGGGACAGCACTGAGATGATCGGTAGACATGTCGTTTGGAACGCATGAATTTCATGGTTTTTCCCATTTGAAATGAGACACAGTATGAAGAGCAAGAAGATAAAAATATCACTTGAGCTTCCCCGCAACACAAATTAATTATTACAGCTGGATCTCGAGCCAATTTTCTTACATGTCCAACTGCAACTGGTAAATCACTTTATCATCTACTCCCTCCGTTCCTAAATGTAAGTCTTTATAGAGATTGCACAATTGACTACATACAGAGCAAAATGAGTGAATCTACATTATAAATGCATCTATATACATCCGTATGTGGTCTATAGTGGAATCTCTACAAAGACTTATATTTAGTAACGGAGGGAGTAGTGTCATAGGATTATTATTACTAAGCCTGAAGTAGTAAACTTCTTGTTTTGAAAAAATATATATGCAATTTTAACCAAACAGCACTATTTTTTTCATAAGATGGTTGGATGTTAATCCAAAAGTATATAAACATGACTCGTATCTATGAAGTTTTTTTGAAAAAGAAACTTCTAAATAGACAATATGTATTGTTGGTAGCTTAGTAACTCAAAGTTCAAGTGATGAAAGAAATTGAGTACACGTGATGAAAGAAATTGAGTACAATCCATTATTTTCTCTGCAAAAAAAAGAGTACCGTCCATTATTTACCTACTAGTTCGGTCCCAGTGAAAACGTCCCCACATAAAGAAGAATCCACATTAGTTCTGATGTTGTGACGGCTGTGTCCATGGAATTGCCTAACAGGGTTCTTCGTCCAGGGCAATGCCGCCCTGCAAAAACACAACCTACTGGCTCAACTTGGCGGCGACGCCGCGCACCGGAGTGAACTCTCCCCACAATGCACTACCGCGGGCGGATCCTTGGCGTGGATCTGGCGGACCTGGCGCCACGAGGGATTTAGCCCGCCCATCCAGGTGAAGGAGAAGGAGGACATAATTTACCATCAGCCTAGCTGCCCCCCTCGTCTCGGTGAATGAGGTCATCCCCGTCGAGGCCTAGCCGGAGCCCGAGGACCCGATCCACTCCGTGCTTCGTCTCTCTGTCCTCGAAGCTCGGAACCCCCGCACTCATCAACGAGGAGGAACAACGGCAATCGCTTGTGAGTCGACCCCTACGCCTTCTTTGAGGATCTCTTGTCATTGTCGGAGGAGAACGATGACTAGACGACGCCGGCCTCAGTCTAGCGTAGGTAGTACTAGGTAGCAATATGGCTCATATAGAGACATTGCTTATTTTAAAAATGTCGTAAAGTGACATTTGAAGTCGCTAAATTATATGTAAAGAGACGCATTTTGACAACTATTATAGTTTCTGTTAAGTTATTTCTTTTATACATGCGTTTGGTATGTCTAATTTGATCTGTATTTGCGCACAGCCGTCACGGCCTCTTTATCAATATAGAGCGCGGCCGGTGGCGATTCGAATATGCTAGAGTTACTCTTAGCCGAGGGTCAAAATACGAGAATATTCTTTTGAAGGGGTAAAACTGTTCAAAAGCGTTGAAAAGTGATATACACATAAAAAATGATGCGTTGTTAGTTGTACTATTTGACCCGTGCCTTTTATGATGTATACATATATAGCGCATGAAAGACGCACGGTACCAGATAGGGTTAATGCACGAAAGATACCTGACATAGAAGAAAATAAATGAAGCTACATTTCATTGATGGCTTTGTGGCCGTCAACCAACTAGCAATCTGAAACTGAGCTATCTCAACGAGATGCACTATTCTGGCAGCGCAGGAAGATGGAAGTGATTTGTAGAAAGAGCTGAAAGATACCAAAGTATAAATGCCGACAGCGACGGAACGAAACCCGCAGGACGGCAATCATACCCACAACCCTCCCTTCTGCAGCAGCGAAGTGGGGGATGCCTACGTGGCACTTCATTACGTGCACACCAACCACAGTTATATACAACGCGCATTTACCCGCAAAAGATAAAGAAAAAAGAGTACATGCCAGCCGCATGAGCATGTGGGTTGAGCAGATCATTCCCATTCTTATAGTACTACAAAACCTGGGAATGATTTGGTCCCAAACCATAGTTTTAATTTAGTTTATTCATTGGGCTGCTTAAGTTTGGTTGTAATGGGCTGGGAACCGGATCCTCTAACATTAAAAAGAAAAGTTAGAGAAGCTACAATCCCCTAACTTTCCTTCTTGCAATCCATATGATTAAGGCTAAAATGATTTAAATTAATATGCAAATTATAGATTTAATGTGTAAATTCATAATCATTACATACAAATAATTTGATGATGAAATAAAATTAATTATAGATTATATATATCTATAGTAACTATCAATAGTAAGTAATCCACTAAACATCTCTAACATTCCTTCTTCATTTTACACTATGATTACACTGTTGAATCGTGACTTTGCTTCTCTAAGTTAGAAGATGCGCCTCCAATGGGCTGAGGCCCTGTTTCAATTTGGTTTGGTTTGGGTTTTAGTAGTTAGTACTCCCTTTGTCCCATAATGTAAGACGTTTTTTGACTCTAGTATAATATAAAAAAAAACTCTTACATTCAAAAAAACTCTTACATTATGGGACGGAGGGAGTAGATTGGTTTGGTTTGGTCTGGACAAATCATTCTCGGACCGGTTCTGTCTACGTAGAAAACCGGTAGAGCAACCAAATCTACCTTACACGAGACGCCGAGCTTTGATCGGAAGGGAAGAAGAGGAGGATGCGGATGAGCTGCAACGGGTGCAGGGTGCTCCGCAATGGGTGCAGCGACGGTTGCACCATCCGGCCCTGCCTGGAGTGGATCCGGAGCGCCGACGCGCAGGCCAACGCCACCGTCTTCCTTGCCAAGTTCTACGGCCGCGCCGGCCTGCTCAACCTTCTCGCCGCCGCCGGCCCCGACGACGCCGGCGTCCGCCCCGCGCTCTTCCGCTCGCTGCTCTACGAGGCGTGCGGCCGGATGGTCAACCGTGTCTACGGCTCCGTCGGCCTGCTCTGGTCCGGCCAGCGGGGGCCTGCCAGGCCGCCGTCGAGGGCCTTAGTCGAGGCCGTGCTCAAGGGCTGCCCCGTCGTCCGGGTCACGTCCGACGCGCCCCTCACGGCGTGCGACATCCGCCACGTCGCCAAGGTTGGGCCTGCTGCGTCTCCGGAGGCCGCTGCGGCCGGCACGCTCCTCGGCGTCTCGCGCACCCGGGCGCACCACGTTCAAGCGCGCGTCTCCCGTTTGAGTTTGTGGATTCAATCCAAAAATGAGAAACAGTTTGAATTGGATTGGGTTGAAAAAATCTGCAGTTTGGTTTGGTTTGGGTTCTAGCTGGCTCTTTTTGGATCGGTTTAATTTGGATCCTGGGTGTGTATTCATATGGACTGGGCTGGCTTTGGTCTGGATGTGAAACTCTTCCCAGGCTACAATGTCATGGCTCATGCACACATGTTGCATGCATGCACCTGGCTGTTCCCAGTTTTTGGGTAACTTTTTAGTTGATGATCTTACCGACTCATGATCTTACTCTGTTTATATTCCCTTTAATTAGTACGATCCAGTTTCATTTTAACTTCAATTTGATGTATCCTATATACACAATGAAATTAGTAACGCACGCGTGAAAGCTTGTTGAATGGCATTTTAATTTATTGCTAAATAATTTTTCTGTCAACTTAGGGTTCCATGCATGTAGCTAGGAGTGTTCAAATGAACTTACAGAGAGGGTAGTTCCAGGCGGAGATGACGAGCACGAGGCCGAGCGGCTCTGGCGTAATCCTCGCCGTCGAGGGGAAATTCATGAGCTTTGCAGGAACCTGAATCAAGGGTACGTCGCTATTCTATCAATGCTTATAATAAGATAATGGATATTGTGTGATATAAATCTGCAAGTGATTAGCTGCTGCGGGTACAAGAGCATGATTAGTTTTCTATCAATAGGTTTGTGTACAGTGTAGGCTTCATAGCTGTAGAGAAACTGTTGGTTAAGCTATCGACATCTCACATCATATCAAGGTACTAGTGAATCGACAATGATATACCTTCTGGGGTTTCATCCATTTCTTGAGATTCTTCAAGGCAAACAAGCACGACGACTTGATCAGAGATAGCTGCCTCATCAAAATTCATAATTGACAAGAGAACAAATAACCTGTGAGTAAGCATGTGGCTAACTACGAGAGTAAGCCCAGTGCGAAATAGATAAATAAATCAAAAAGCTCAAATAATACATGAACTTTCTTTTTTGAGTTGATAACACATGAACTTGACGGACCGTTTTTTGTGTGTGGTATTTAGTTTCAGGTGATCCGAGAGAAACGAAGTTTTGCGGAATTTGATTTCGATCTTCGCACAGATGCTTAAATAATTGGGTTTATGTGTATACACTGTGCATGCATGTTTGATTTTCTTCCATTTCTGATGGTGCCATAGTTACATGACACCATCCGATTGAATTTAAAGAAAGAAAAACAGGGCTGTGAAATTATAGTACTCACCGGCAAAAAAAAGAAAAAGAAATAAAAAGAAATTATAGTACTGTATGACGAAGCGAGTTGTGAATCGAACATGCAAATAGAGCAGACAGGGACTTTAAGAAGCCAGAAATTTCAGATCAGTTTGCCAATCCAGTCGACCCAATTAATACTCCCTAGCAAGCAATCTCTTTTTTTTTCAGAAGAAGGAACCCGCGAAGATCTTAACAAACTAATCCAACGTATGAATATGATCGATCGTAATCGTAACGGAGAAATTAGGACGCGTAGATGCTGCTTGACGTACCTCGTGGACGTGTGCTTCGGTCTTGGGCTTGCCGAGGTCGGCGTGGAGGGCGTCGCATATCTCCGCCTCCATCTCCGTGGCCATCCGCAGAACCCCTCGCAGCTGCGCCGCCCGCCACTCCGCCGGCCGCGTCTGCCCCGCCGCGAACCTCTCCCGGAGCTCCTGTACAGCCGCCGCCGGGGACTCCACCATGTTATATATGTAATCTAGCTAGCTCCTGGTGAATTACCTGCAAGCAAGCCAGTTAGGTCGGTGATATGGAGGGAAGGAGGAGGCTGGAGGTGGTTTGTCTTGTGGAGAGATGAGAGACGTGGTTATATATGTCTGACGTTTCTAGATTTTTTTTAAGCGGTTGGTCGCTCTGTTTTGCTCTTATCGCTTTGTTCGTTTGATCTTCTCCGATAGTCGGATCAGCACCACCAGTCCTTCGAAGATTATAATGAAATTAATCATTGCGGTCCTGTCAAAATATATATAGAAATTAACCATTGTGGTGTGAAAAAGTAATACTCTCGTTTTTTTTAAGTAACACTCTCTTTCAATTCATTCAGTTTACGACACATCTCTAACCCAATATCCTTCAGTCTTCAATCTGGTTTTGCTGAGGTGTTCATTTCAAATCCAGATCGACACTAGTATGAAAGAAATACAAATCGTGCGCTATTGATTAAGGTTACATCATAAATATCATTTAAAAAATGGTTAGCAGGTAAAATAACATCATATTCAGATTCTATACATTTTCTAATAAGATTCTGTATATACCATGTTAAATTTGGAGGTTTTAAAAGACATGGATATTTTTAGAAAGCATTGCA